CTTATTAGTTTTGTGTTTGTTAGCTGATGTCGAAATTAGGTGAAAATTTCAATTTTACAAAACAGTTTGCTTGCGCCATCTAAAAATTCATTGTACTATTTTTGTCACTAAGCATAGATCTCCAGATAAAAAAAGAGCAGTCAAACTAATATGACCATAGTTTAGGGCAATAAACTTTATCTATAGCGAACAAGAAATGATTGAAACTTGCACTTGTTTCTTCATTAAAGCTTGATTCGGTGGAGAGTGCTCAAATTTTAAACTGGTGTTCTTAGTCAGGGGATGCCAAATGGTTTCAATCAGTTCTTGATCATTACAAGAAGAATTATCGCCATGTTATATGCACAGAATACCTTGCATAAGTGAAAGGTATTCTGAAATCACTATCTTTTAGATTCCTTGTCAAAAAATTTTACTTTATATCCACATAAGGCAAATTAATATTTAAAAGATGAAAAACCAAATGTAGTGAATATTATTGAGAAAGAAGGGATCACGAGCCCCAAAACAAGTTTGTTTGCTGAAAGAAATTTTAAGGTGTTTCTGATAAACGAAGTTAACCAGCTCTCAATTTCCTGCGGCAATGAAACAGCCTTGGATGTTTTTAATTCCGCTTTCCTTAAAAGCGATTCGTCAGGGTTTGAAAACATTTTCGCTTTTTCCTCGTGTAAATATTGCGTTATGTCCCCTAATGTGTATTTTATTTAAAATGAATCTAATGTAAAATATTAAGGGCTTTGATTACGTAACACTCCTTGTATAATTTACAGCCATTCACAATTACTTCGACTTCTTCTTCATTTATACTAACATACACTGATCTGAAATAAAAAAAAAGTAAGAAAATAAAAAAAAGGAAAAAAATAAATTTTTAAATTCACATTTTTGCGTGTTTAAAAGTGAAAAAAATTAAGAATTGCGTCATGGGTAAAATGAAAAATGAGCAACACAGAACTGTTCATAAAAATATTTATCATCAAATTTATGTTCAAACTTTAAAAATAATGCACTTCCCTTTTTTTATTTCTGGCTAAGAGGATTTAAAATGTTTCTTTCTTTCTTCCGTTTAAAAAATGTTGTTTAAAATTTTTTATTTTGTTTTATACGCATTTACTTTATTATTTAAACGAGTATTGGACAAGGTTTACAAAGGTGAGATCGTTACATTTCACTTCTCATAAAGTTTACATTTACGGATTTCTCCCCCCCCCCTGTCATTTACAAAATGAGGTTGTTAAAAAAATATCTTTCACATATTCAACTATAAATAAGCTAACGACTTATAATTTTAATTTTTGACGCAATTTTTTTTGCATTCCATATGCTCTTAAAATATTGAGGAAAAAAAAAGCTTGTTTACAACTTACGAACTCAACCGTTTTTATTAGCGGTTAAAAAAGAGAAGAAAAAAGAAATAAATATATTGTGCAATCAAACGTCAAACTTTATCTCATCCCCGTAGCCTACAAAGGTGACTCAATTTCCACTCCTTTAAATTTGATACTGATTTCCTTGACTCGATAAACCTATCGATATTGCAAATACAAATAAAAAAGAGATAATTTTAGATTGGGAGAACTTGAGTTGTGCAGAAAATAATGAATCAGGAAACATAAAACATAAAAAAGCATAATTACATAAAGAAGAATAGTTTAAATTTGCGCCGTTATGCAAATTATTATCCTTTATTTAATATAAAACTGGAGAACAAATTTTGTGTTGCACTTATACAAACACTTGATTATGCCTAATTTTCAAATCTAAGATTAGTTCTGCTTTTAAAGCTACAGATTGTTGTTTAAAATGACAATTTTAGTCAGTTTTTTGCCGAAAAGTACAAGTTTAAAAACGTTATTTTTATAAAAAAGGGCTCCCGTAAATGTTGCGACAAACTCTATGGGGAGCTTTAGAGGACCTAAGAGTTTGCTTATCGCAAGAGTTTAAGTCATGGCTTCAACAATTAAAAAATTACTCTGATTTAACAGCTTCCCTGATTATCCGCAGTTAACTCTGGTATGTTTTTGACTGCCAGGCCATTATCGGCTCCCTCTTTCAACTTGGAGCACACCCCCCATCGAAATTCTCCATGGCCATCGGGCTCCAGAGCTTGCAAATCTTGTTATCAAGTCTTCTGGAGGACTCTAATCTTTGCACTAGCACTGTATGCATAGACACGACAGCAACAACAACAAAAACAACAACTCTGGTATGTACAAGGAGTGATCAAATGAAAAGGTACGAAACGACGTAAAAACGTAACAGTTAAATATTTGCTTATTCCGCCATGGGAGAACGCAGCGAGACATCTCGGGATGCGATTGGAGTCTCTGACTGGGATCGGAGCATGCGCAGGAGACAGCAGAGGCTGTTATCAAAAGCGCCGTCCAAATGATCCGGTGGTCCTTATGAGGACAGGATGGAGTTCGCGTTGCAAAATTCGACGATTGAGGAGCAGCGAGGTGTTAACCGATTTCTGACAGCGGAAGGGGAGAAACCGGCAGCTATTCATCGCCGGATGGTGACAGACCGGGGCTGCTCACGGAGGGTGCGGTTCTGCTCCATGATAACGCTCGTCCACACGTTTCCAGAGTCACACACATGGAACTGGCCAAGTTCAAGTGGGAGGCGTTAAACCATCCGCCCTACAGTCCAGATATGTCGCCCTGCGATTTCCATGTGTTTGAAGAAACACCTGAAAGGGAAGCGCTTCAACTCGGACGACATACTCAAGGAGGCTTTGAAGGACTGGGTCTCGTCACGGCCACAGGAATTCTGGGAAGAAGGAATCCTGCTGCTTGTTCATCAGTGGGATCGTTGCGCTCAGGCCTATGGTGTATATTTTGAATAAAGTCTACATTTGTACCCACCGTGTCATTTCGTACCTTTTCATTTGATTCCCCTTTGTATATATTGCAAATCTTTATTATCCCGAGAAAATTCGTGCGTAGCAGAATTTTTTAGGGCGTTTTGTTTTATCGCGTTTTTGCTCGGCTGGAAGCAATAATAATAACAATAATCTGCGGAGATTGGAAGTTTGCCAAGTTTTGCTGTTGGATTGTGGGACTGCACACGTGTTTTGTGCGATTTTACGTACGATGGTTGCTGAATTTACAAAGAAGAAAAAGTAACAAAAAATGGCGTATCACTTCACCGGTGTTTGGAAAATATCACCTTGTGCTGTTGTTCCTCGTTTTAAAAACTATCATACAAAGACTAATATTTACTTAAAATTTCAAACTTGTGTATTATGTTTTGTTTTAGTTCCTTGTATTTATTAATGAAATAAAAAAATAGATTGAATTTTGCACTTTTTCCCAAAAAATTGGCAAAGGAAGCGGCTAAAGTGAAGAAGTAAAGTTAAGGCTTTAACAATTAAAAAAATTCCAGTTCTGCAAAAATGATCCTATGCATGTAGTTTCCAAAATCTTTTTCTCTAACAGTTGCTTATCACATGAAGTAAAATTGTGACTTTAATAATTAAAAATTCAACTGTACAAAAATTAAAATCTAAAGCAGTACAAGGTTTAAAAATCCAGATCAAATTACATAAAAATTAATACTTATAAGTCCGTAAAGTTTGTTTGTACCGAATATGTTACGGAACAAAAAATGTGATATACCATTGTTTTTATTGTAATAATTACCGCATAATCACCGAATCACTCTAATTAAATAAATATTATTGTAAAAATGACGGTATAATATTTCGCTGTAAGAATAGATTTTACGGAATTGTAATTTGATCCGGAATTGTTTACAGTGTAGTTCCCATCTTTTTTATCTAACGGTTGCTTATCAAAAGAATTAAAGTAGTGACTTTATTGTAGTAGTGATTTTTACCTAACTGTTACTTATCACAAGTTGTGGATTTAATAACTTAAAAAAGAGCTCTAAATATTATCTAAAGCACGAGCGGTTATCTATCGCAAGAGTCAAAGCTAAAGTGAAACTATACTATCAGAAAATATACAATATCAAAGCTACAATTCTTCAACAGCCTGATTGCGTATTTCATAAGAAAAGAATAAAAAAAGAAACTTGCGAAACTCACAATCAATGAGCCAATATTCAAGAATATTGGTCCAATGAGGGTCCAAGTTATTTTGCTGCTAGGGTAATGTCATGGAGGTATTAGAGAATTGAGAATTACTATTTCTGTTTGAGGCATCGTTTGTCGGAAACTATCAATTTTTGGTAGTGTAGATGGAAACTTCTGATTAGTATGTTTTGAACTACAACATATTCAACGGGATACCTGCAAGTGACGTAGTGTGGGTAACTCGATGCTGATTGGTTGTTGAAACATGGCATTTATTTACGTTAGCAACTGTGCTTTACATTTATATTTTGAATAAGCCAAGCCCGTCAAGTATCAATTCTGGCAAGTGGCACATTCGATATTTTTTAACAACGATTTAAATTCTTCCACTATATATTTATTACTTAACTCAAGGACTGGCAAGAAGCCATGTAAAACATAAACAAGCTAATTATGCATCGAAGTTGCCAGGTACACAAAACAAATATATATCACGGCTACAATAAAAAGCAGAAAAAATAATAAGTATAAGTTAAGTAAAAGACATAGACGAGAAAGAATTATATTTCTACGAATTCGATTATCGATACAGCACTGTATTTACTTAACTTTACATTAATTAATATTCTATTTATGTGGACAAGCTTAGCTCGCCTTTAACTCGTCATTTTGTCTTTAACCAATCAGCTGTTGCTGACGTCATAGTTCACATGTGTGGGTGTTCGTGATCTTCTTCTTCATGAAATGCAAGCACCCAATTTTCAGCCAATATGACAGCGTTTTAATTTCCATACGATTTGTGTGGGGTCCTTCGTCCTTAGATTGCATAACTTTGATATAAAATAAATAAAAAATATAATAAATAAAATATATAATAAATAAAAATGTAATAAATGAAAAATACAATAAAAAATATAATAAATTTATTATTTTCTGATAGATGCAAGATAATAGACAGAATTTTTAGTCAGAGCCACAAGGATTTTATTCAGAAGTAGTTATACTCAAGATTTAAAAACAGCAAGGATTATATACTAGTTTGTTTGTGAAACAAACAATAAATAATTGCACAGCAATCATTAAGGGTCGGCATGTAACAGCAAGCTGTGAAGGAGTAAAACCCCTTGTTTTTCTTAAATAGTAACAAATTTTTGAAAGTAATCTTCTGTTACAAACTATTTTTAAACAAATTCTGCATTCAATGTGTCTCACAATTTTCAAAAATTTCTTGAACTTAATCTTCTTTTGCAATTTTTTTTGAATAACTTATAATTCTAATGTCATGTTTGAAATAGTTCAAAATTTTAATGGATTTTTCCCCCGTTTGAGCTGCTTTCTGAAGTAGATAAAATATAAATCTAATCCTGAAAGAAACACCTATAGGAAAACAAAATATGTTTTACATTATAATAATTCCATATAAAATATTTGTTAAGTTCAACGGTTTTAGGAAAATTTAAATTTGAAACTCTTTATTTGTAAGAGGGTGTTCCGTAAAGACCTCCCTTATTGTGTGCTTTTAGAATCCATATGAAAAATGAAAACATTAAAGCATGCACAATAGGAATCAGAAAGGAAAACTGAACAAAATAAAAATCAGAAACCTGACAGGTCACAGGACATAAAGAATCACGTAATAAACACGATGAAATGGATTGAAGTAGAAAGGAGTTGAAAGACGATTGTTAGAAACATCTTCAGGTTTCAACCACCACTTAAACCCGGTTTGTTTATTACATTCACTTTTCTCTTTTGTAATTGTCAAAGTTCGAACACAATTTTGTTTTTTTCATCAACTAAATATCAAATTGCGTCCCTCATGTGTATACTTCTTTGTTTTCATTAGTGAAAAATATTCAAAAAATACCTATAAAGGGTGATCTTTATGGAGCACCCTGTATAACTACATTGAATACAATTGCTTTAGCTACAAATTTTAACATACATACAAATTATTAAAAGAACCAGAAAATAGCGTTCTCTAGTTTTGCGCAAAGGGTCTAGGTGGTTTTGATTTCGTAGAGAAAGTATCACTGTACCTTTTCCCCCCGACATACTATAGATTACTTTGAGATTTAATTCAGAATTCGGAATATGTTACATTAACACACGTGTAGACATTATTTAAAAGTAAACAATTTTTTGTAACTATGCAAATAGCTTTTGTAATTTAGTTTTCTTAAGAGCTGAAGATACTAGAGGAGAAAAAGATATTATGACGCCTTGACCAGACAATAAAATCCATAAAAATAATATAAATAATTGAAAACGCTGTGCTCTTTTTAAAACCATACTAGCTAAAAAAAATTGAAAAATAAAAATTATTGTGCTCTTTTTAAAACCATAATACAGTCAAACCGCGATATCTCGAACTTGAAGGGAGAAGAGAAAAAATTCGAGATATCGAAAATTCGAATTATCGAAAATTACATGTTATCGATGGTAGAATAAAGAAAAATGCTCTTTACATAACTTATTTACTCTATATTTATTCTAAAAACACTTTTTACACTTTCATTTAAGAAAAGATTCAATTGTTGTTTGCTTTAGAGATGTGTAAGAAAGTTTGTCTATAACACTTTCTAAGTGGACTATAGCTTTAAATGTCTCCTCTGACATATTCGGCTGCCTCTCAGTAAATCTCCTTACAGTGTCCACTGCAGAAAGTGCTTGTTTCTTAGTAACATTGGGCGGTAAATCTTCGATTTCCTCATCCTCTTCTTCTGATAGTTCACAAGAAGCTTTCGTTTGAGCGATGATATCATTGTCATCCCACTGACCACACACCGGTACTGCATCATCTACGTTTACAAAGTCATGAAATTCCATGTCATCAAGTTTCATGAGTCCGGTTAATCTGCTCCAATCATTTTCGGTGCAGTTTTCAGCAGAATTAACGATATTTATTGTTTGACTACTTTCGTGATCTTAAATGAATCCAGACTTCTTAAAGCCATTCATTATCGTTGAGGAAGACACATCATTCCATGCCTTGTCAGCCATTCTTAAAATTTTTTTATTTTTTTTGGAATATTTTTTTAATTTTAGAAAAAAAATCTACACTATTTATGGAAAAAAATTCGAGTTATTGAGGATCTAGAAAGAAAAAATTCGCGAAATCAAGTTCTTTTTTTTTAACATTGAGTGTATAGGAAATTTGAAGAGAATTTTTTTTCCTTCGAGATATCGAAAAAGTCGTGAAATCGAGGTTCGACTGTAGTTCAAAAAATATTGATTAATAAAAATTATTTAAATTTAAAAAAGAACCTAATTTATTGCATTTTTTATAGAATTTTTGTTTTGACCAGAAAAAAAGCAAAATATTTACTGATATGTAAGTGCCAGGATAAATTAAAGCAACATCTTATACAAACCAATTATCAGGTTTTAACTTAATAGGCTTATCAGAAGTTGAGAAATCTTGCTTGAAAGGTTAAAAAATCTAAATTGAAAAACATGGACTTTCAAACAAAACTTTGAATAAATAATTTCAATCAAAATATTCAAATTTGCAGATGATTCCAGTTTAGAAATACTGTGTGTGTTAATTTTTGTTTTCTGAGAGTTGGTTTCAATAATTTTGCCATAACTTTGGTAATTTGTTTAGTATTATCGAATAGTGGATGTCAAATTGCTCAGAATAAAACAGGTCATAACATATATATCTTTTTAAAAAAATTTAAAATTTTGTTAAGAAAAACCCTCTTGACCACCTTAACAGATGCATATATTTTTTTAACTAATTTTTCTAAGAATTGAATTTTCTTTTTTTTTTCTTCTTCTTTTTTTAATGTTTAAACTGAATAAATTATTTTTAGTATAACTTTTAACCTGTTTATTATAATTTTGTTTAGGTCTATGCGAAATATTTTTTCTGATCGCTAAATTTAGATTTTGTGCTATTGTAATTGAACCTAACTTTTTAATTCTATTCTAATTTGCTTGTTTCTTTCTTTTTAATTTCTTTTAAAGGATAAATTATGTCAAAAATTAAATTTTTCTTTGTATTACTAGTGCTGCCATCTAACAACGAAATAGAAGTTCACATCTGTTCTATACTATTATTAGTACTATTTTAGTAAAATGAACTAAGTAGGACTATTTTAATAAAATGAACTAAGAGTGGGAAATAATACTATTCCCGGAAAATAAGTGTTTAAATTTACTAACGTATTAGAAAATTTATTTTTGTCTTATTTGTTCACTGACCACAGTCGCACATGAGAAAAATTATAAAATGGCATGGCAGGAATGATTTTCTCTGCCAAGCCGAAATCCTAGGCACACCCTTAATTTGAAACCCGTATGCATAATACTTAATTTAAGAAAATATTGTACTTAAAGTTTTAAGAGCTTATTATGATTTTTTTTACACGAAACCATAAATATATGCTGCTTTGAACAATGTCCTTTCCAAAAATGATAGAAAAAAGAGGGTCATTTGAGGTCACAAATTAGAATTTAAGCGAGAGAAAAAAAATGCTATCGTAAAATTAAAATCTACAGCTGAGCAGGGTAAAAACTAAAGCCTGTTTAATGGCTGAAGAAAACATAAAAAAGTTGAAAGATGATAATTAGAAACCTCGTTAAAGTTCAACCTAAAACCAAATAGGTTTTTGATGGTTAACAAATATGTTTTTGCTTATTCTGTACCCATCTCCCTTTATTATGATTTATCAGATTTTGAAGAAATAAAATTCGTTTTCCTTCCCGCGCTAGAAAAATTTATTTGCAACCGCCAATGTGCAAAGTAATCTAAAACTCGAATTGCACCTAGATTCCAAATGACGATAAATTCCATTTGGCGCTTAAATAGTGATGTGAATTTCGCTTGTATGCTGTTCAAAAACGAAATAAACTTTTGGTAGAGCTTAGAGCTTCAGCTTAGTTGGCTATTTTTAACATGAGTTGCGTTGATTTTGGGGGATCAAGTGGCAAATATGCAAAACAATGGGGCCTTACTTGCGTCACTTAAAAAAGCTGAGTTTTTTTATATGGTATATTTTAAGGCGTTCTCGAGACAGCTGGACAGTTCTCATACGGACAGCCATATGCCGGACACCCTTAATGGTAAGGAAAATTGAACCCTACTAAAGTCATTTCATAAAAACTGAATTTTATATATTTAACTTTGGCCAACCATTTTAAGATGTTTTCCTAGCAGCTGGGCAGTTCGCATTCGGGAATCCATCTGCCGGATATTCTTGAAGGTTAATGAGACGTGATTGTACTAACCCAAATATATAAAATCACAATTCTATTTTACTTGTCCGCTTATTTGAATATTGCGGAAAATTCGATAGCAGTATGATATCTTTCATAATTATTCGATAATTATTTTTACGAATTTAAATATTTAAACTTAGTTCTTTCACAAATGTCCCGAAGCAAACCAGTAATGAATAATGATTTTTCATGTTGTTGTTTTATTTTATATCCGTCGTTGAACAGCTGACCGAATTTTTAGGTTTACGGCTACTAATGTTCAATTCCGCAGCCTTGTAATTTTGAATCAATCCAGAAGACAAGGGAACTCCTGGATCAGTACCCTAGAGGTATTGATTTGTTATGGGAACATGGAGGACTTTGCGACTCGACAGATTTAACGTGTATCAATCACTATTTACTTCACTGGGAGTCATCGGCCGGCGAGGACCGAACCCACGAACTGTTGGACATCGGCCCAGTGGCCTACCAACAAGCCTGTCTCGGCCTCTTATGTTGTTGTTGTTGTGGTCGTCGGCCATTAAAGCACTTGGGCCGATTGTTCTTGTTTCCCGAGGCAGAATTTATCTACCACCTGAGGCGGAATTCTGAGAGACTGAATTCTCTACCTTTTGGACATTAGCCGAACGCCCTACCAACGAGGATATTCTGGTCCAGGCGATGATAAGATCAAAGTGAGGCGGCAGAATAGCTGTGAAACGAGTACAAAATTTTTTTTTGTGAACTTCAGAGGCGTTAAGGAAGTTAGAAAACTTGAAAATCCCCGGTAATGGGATTGAAACTTTTCGGCTTAGTTTCAGAAGCGCCGAAACTGTTTGAGAACTTCAAAGTGCCCTAGTAATGTACATAAAATTCAGCTTTTATAAAATAGCGCTAGAGCAATTCCAATGCATTAACCTTTGAGGTTGGCTGGCAGATGATTTTCCTCGTGCGAACTGCCCGGTTGCTTTTAAGACACTTTAAAATAGTTTGCTCAATTCGCATATATGAAATATAGCATTCATAAAATGGTGTAGTAAGGTCCGATTTTTTCAACCATTTAAGGGTCTTCGGCGGGTGGTTTTCCGTGAGCATACTGTCGGGTTACTTAAGAAACATATTCAAATAGTATATACTAAATTCAGCTTTTGTAAGGTAACGTATCTAGGGCCCCACAATTTGCATATTTCCAATCTGTTACCTGTAATGTCAATACAATGTTAGTAATAGTCAACCGTTCTTTTACTCGCCTTGGTGAATTTTCGTAGAAAATGTTTCAACCTTCATACTATATGACGTAGGTCTGGTGTTCACGAGCTCTTGCTGAGTTAAATTCTCCAGAAAGCTGTTGCCAATTTTCTCCGATAAAATTCTAAAGATTCGTTCTTCTTTCTGTCAGACCCCGAAGCGAACTGAACTGAAGTAACCATATTAATCAAAGATTTTGAAAATAAAATTTATTTGAAAATATTTAGCGTAGAAGAATGAAACATCCTATCAATAATTGCTTCAAAATTTGGTTTTATGTTAGGTAGTTCACTTTGCAGATCTGAGCGTCATATTGCCCAATTTTGAACTTGTTTTGGGAAAATGGATAAACTGAGACTAAATAAAATAAGCTAAATTATGATTGAGGTAAAAATGAAAAAAAATTTTTATTGGTTATCGAGAAACTATAGTTCCTTATTGTTTAATTTAATTTTTTTACTTTGAGGGGAAGTAGTAATGATATTTTTTTATAAATACATGTGTCTTTTATAATTTATTTTATAATAAAAGAATTTATTCAATTATTTTTTTATTCATATCAACTTAAATTTCAGGAAAATAAATAAATTATTTAAGAATTAAAGGATTATTAATTGTATATTGAAATAATATGTTTCTAAATTCATAACTAGTTTAAAAGCAGTCTTAAATCTCGGAACTCCAGTGACGCTTCTACGGAACCCTAGGGTTCCGCTGAATATGTTTCTAGAAATGCTGTTCCAGAAAGTTGAACATTGGACGAAATTGCGACGCTAAGATTCCACTCCCACTAACAAGAAATTGAGTTTAAGGAAACTTTTTAAACTTAATAAACATTTATTTAAAAAAAAAAATAACTATATTACCTTCCACAACTCTAGCACAAAACTTCCTGAAATCAGATGTTTTCAATCAACCTCGTTTGAGCTTCATCCCGTTTTTTATCACGGCATCTAAATTGTTAAAAAAATGTTTTCTGTAATTTCTCTTCAAAATAAATTGTGCTGGCAAAATTACAATTTAAAAAAATTTAATCCTTTTTGTTAAAAAATCACTTAAAAGTATTTATGAAACAGAGCCTGGTATTTATATACAAAAAAAAATCAGATTTAAATGACCTGATTTACCTTTTGTAACAAAGCATGATAAGGAATCCAGAATTAATCAGACCAAGGACAAAACCAATTACAGAAAAATACATTATTGATGCTAATGCTGATAGTGCTCCATATGGAAGTTTAAGTTCTGAAAAGAAAGAAAATCTGATTGTAGAAAGAGAGTCGCGATGTTATGTGAAAAAGTATTTGGCAACAATCGTTTTGTGAACAATCACAATTTTATTTCAATTGGAACAATACTCTTAGGATAATAAGAATTCCATTATTTTTATATTAATTTATTAAATAAAGCACTCTCACAACACACTGCAAAAAATTTCTGTAAATTTACCGAGAGATAATATATGTTCAGTCACGAAAGTTTATATTCAGATGCAAGTAACCTTGTTTTATAACCGGCGTTGAACAGTCCAATTCTTAGTTCACGTTTATCAATGTTGCCTTGTAGTTTTGAACGCAGTCCAGAGGTCAAAGAAACTTCTGGATCAGTCAAAGGGACAAATTTAGCATTCGTGGAGGACTTTTTGATGGGATTATTCCACATTTGCGTTACACGGAGAGGAAGATCATGAAAACCTCCAAAGGGCCGGACGACAAGAGGATTCTAATCCATAATCCGGTTACTACTGAGAATGCTTTACCTCAGCACTTTGGTTGACGCGAGACGGGAGCAGGATTCGTATCAACCAGTCACCGATGGAATTCGAACCTAGATCACGTAATTGGGAGGCAAACTCTCTATCTCATGAGACACAGCGGCTCATATAACAGAGTTCTTAATTAACAAAGTTACAAAAAATACTAATATAAAATATTTCAAACCATGATTCTTACATCTTCGTTATATATATATATATATATATATATACATTATATATATACAGTGGAACCTGTCTAAATTCACCACCCTCGGGACCAAGTCAAATGGTTACTATATAGAGGTGGTCACTTTATGAAGAGTCTTTAAAAAAGACTTTTTAAATAAGACTTGCAGAAAATGGTCACCCTACTCAGATCTCACTTTACCCAGGTGGTCACTTTTACAGGTTCCACTGTATATATATATATATTTCAACATTTTTCGTGAATAAAATTTTANAAGAAAAAGAAAAATTCTTATTAAATTCAAAATAACTTCGAGAAATCCCGAAACAAAATTTCCTCTTTTAACATGCATGGTTAGGAAAACGAGAAGATTCAAGATTCGTAATTATTTTAACATTTCATTTCAAGATTTATAATATTTTCTGAGAAAAATATAAGTTAAGAACTTTCCCCACATTATAAAGATATTCTTTAGGTAGAATATTTAAAATTTCCTTTCCAATGAATACGAAGCAAAGACAACGCAAAAGCTGTAAAAAAATGAAATATTTTCCATCATGAATAATTCATTATTCATTTAATCATGTACTTAAAATATGCACCAATTCTTTCACAAAACCAAACTTCTTCACCTTTTACGGAATTTATATATTTGAACGAGAAACCTTTGTTAAAGAAAACCGTATTTTTCCTGATAATATTTTTGAAAACTATTTGATGTCCTCCGCTAATATTTTTTTTCTTTATTTATTGGAGACATGCATGTGAATTGAATATATTTGAGTTGATTGTTTTCTATGCAACTCTGTCATTACATGTTGCTTTGGTAAAAAAGATTGATCCAACATAAAACTTTTGTTCTGAAAATGTTTGTTATGAAATTGATTTTTTCGAGAAGAATAGTTTTATCTGAATTTACATAAAAGTATATCAGGTATCCGAAAATTGAAGATTGACCAATTTTTAAGAAAAAGGAAACAAAAATCAATAATATAAAAAAAAAATTTAAAGTATATTTAAAGTACAGTATTTTGATTGTGTTAGTTTTCTGCTGATGCAGAATGCTACAAAATTGTAACTTTGAAACTTCCTGGATAAAAAAGTAGTTTATAAAATAAATTTCGTTATGAAATACGCTTAAAGTTCATAACATAAGCGTATATATATATATATATATATAGCGTATAAGATTCCATAATAATTTAAAAAATAATTTATGTGTCTATTTTCATTATAAGAGCTAAAAATTCACTGAGGAAAACACGGTTTTTAAGACTTAATACTTTTCTCAGAATTATCTCATTGATTTTAATAATAATAATTATTATTATTTTGGACTAGTCCAAACATAAAATTTCTATAAAATTAAATTGTAATTAATAATCAATTTATTGACAAAATGTATTTTTACTTACTCTCGCAATTGCCTTCAAGAGGATTAAACGTGTATCCAGAAATACAAGTGCAAAACTTTATGGGACCTATCATCTGGCAACTATCTGAATGAGGTCCACAATCACATTCTGTAAAAAATGTAACGTGAAAAAGCATGCACATTAAATGAATGGTTAAATGAATAAAGGAAATGTCAAAAATGCTACAGTGGCAGCATCTTTCACGTATGATAAAAGAAAAGGATAAAGATAAAGTTTCTTACCCATTATTAGCAATTAAAAGAAATTGTACGTGTTGCGCGCAAAAAAAGAGAAACAGAAGATAAATAAACTTTAGATATTGATTTTTCCTTGCTATTTTTTTTTTCTTTTTCAGTATTTTTATTTGTTTTTGAATGAGATATTATCCATCACATATAAACGTTTTTTTCTCGTGCATACTTATCATGGGCACAAAGCTTCATTACTTTCGAAATTTAATGTAATCAAAATTTAGGTATTACGTCTATAAATATACGTAGCTCAAAAATAATTTTTTATCCAATTTAAAACAAATTGCATAAAAAATAATAAAATGTTTGCTTCTGCACTTACAAAAGAGGAGTTCTTATATTATTGACCATACTGCCATTTTGATTGACATATATTGTTTATTTAAAAGCACGTAGATTAATGCAAAAATAAACGTGAAGATGATGTTAATGACATCGACAAAATAATTACTAATTATTATTTTATTACATTATTTTAAATAATATTAAGTTGTTTTGAATAATACATAGCCTGATTTGAATACATCTTGAGGAAATATTTAAGACTGATGGATTAGATCAGTCGGAAAACTACGTTTATGTTTCATAAATGCTTAATTCGATCTATCCTACTTTATGTATACTTTTTACATAATTCTTTCAAAAAACTGCTTTGATACGTACAAGCCATACGACATTAGTGAGTATAAATCACATAATTACCTAATCAATTCATTCTTTTAAAAAAAGCAAGAAAAATGAAAGTGAAACAATTTTTGAGCAAAAAATAGAGTTTTGAGTGAATAATCTAATGTGAAACAGAAAGATTTTCGACATGAAAGTTTACTACATAAGAAGTGTTCTTTTTAATCATTTTTTACTAAAAAAACTATTGTTTTGTATTTAAGTCAAAATTTGTCCACTCAGTTTCACGAATCAGTGACAAATTAAATTAAAGACAGTGGTTATTAATATTTTTTAATAGAACAGATTTTACAATTGTAATGAAAAAATAATGTTATTCAATGAATGATTAATATTTCGTATTAAAAACCACTTAATTGTGTTTATGCGTTGATTTTTCCTTAACTTTCAACACAAAATTATATGAATTGGGAAACATATGGAAAAAAGTTATAAACTAGTTAAATATTTAAAAAATATGTATTTAGCATAATTATACAGGAAAGTTGAGCTAATATAGGATACTCAAGATAATACCAAAACTAGATAATAATAATCTTTGACCATGGTTACTTAGAAAAATTTTTTTGACAAAAATGATTGTACTTTTTCCAAAAGCATTTTAACAAAATTTATAAATTGTTCCCTCCACGGAATATTAGACTTCGCAAGGAATAGTTTCACCTAAACAATTAAATGTTGCTCTTACCTTTACAAACGCCATCATTAAGAGTGTAACCTGATCTGCAAGTACAGTATTTTGTGTCATTTACGAAAGAACATTCTGAAACTCCATGTCCACAATCACACTCTGGAATATAAATGAATATTTAATAAATCTCCCAAATTATGCATTGATAAATTCAATAAAGGAAGCAAACTACAATAAATGCATATTATTTTTCGTTTTTTTTCGGGAAGTATTTGCAATCATAGGTTGCTGCAAGTGGAGTTACTTTCGAAACAAATTCATGAAATTCTATTCTATAGAAGAGATAATTAGGAACTCTTTAATTAAGAATCTCTCTGGTGTTATATTTGTGAGTCTTTGAAATTTCCTTCCGACTTCAATAGAGTTAAATTTTTCAATTTTTTATTCGTCCACATTTACAGCTGTAGGCGTCTAAGTTATTATTCATGGCAGGAAGTTGTAATTAATCTATAATTATTTACTTGCAGGTATATATTCCTCGAAACTAAGTAATAATTTTCGTGTTATAAGATTAGTCATAAGCTATAATTTTTAAGTTATAAGCTGAAATTATTGCTTTTTCGGAAGTTTTTCTATAAGAATTGAGGGAAAATCCGCAAATCGCCCCCACATGAAGTTTTTAAGAAGCTGCTCCCAGGAAACATAATAATACCCTTACGCAGGGCACCAAATGTTTAAAAAATGTTGGTAACCAGTAAAAATATTAGTAATTTCCCATTTTTACATTAAAATCCTATTTATTAGCACAATATTAACATAAAACTAGGAACCAGAAATTTTAGGGAATGTACGACGGTGCAAAGATAAAGAAAACAGAATTTTTGTTTGCTTCAATAAGTGTTGAAAAATCAGACGAGAATGGAGAAAACAATATCGCTCAATATCAAATCTCCAACCGAATTTTTTTTAGATAAATATTGAGCTACAAAAAAATATCGATTCATAATTAAAAACTAAAAATATAGTTGCCAGTAAAAATGTATTGGTCGCAATGGAAACCGGTAGACCGTATTTCTCGAGCCTTGCCCCTTTATCTTCACGAATATTCTTGTTTTAGAGCATAACCTGATTTGTATTTACAGAGATTTTTGTCGTTTACGTGAGAGCATTCTTGAACATACACCCACAATTGCATAATTAATAAGCTACTTAAAACCTGCTATGTAACTAATTAATTTCTAAAATCAGTCAAAGGAAATAAAGTTACAAATGCAGAAAACTTTTTAAGGATGGGTTTGAATGAATTTGGGTTGCTAAACTTGCAAAATGTTTAAGAAAGAAGCCTTGGATATTTCCTTTCTAATCAGGGACAATTTTCAAAGTTTGGTTCAATAATATTTGGATTTTCGTTTTGTTCGTAGATTACTTAGGTTTATCAAATTTTTATCTGCACTGGCCAGCAAAAGTTTAGCTTATTCGGTAGTTTTGCAAAGGAGCTTTAATATAAAAATAGTGAAATATTCTTTTCATAGAGTAAGGAACAATTTAAAACTAGATTTGACAATACTCGCTGGCCACACATATTTTCACAAAGCTTAGATTAAACCAGAGAATTAAAAAGGTCTTCACCTTCACAAATGTCTTTGTTTAGAGCGTACCCTTTCATGCACACGCAGCGCTTTTCACCATGCATATAACAGCATTCTAAAGTTCCATATCCACAGTCACATTCTGGAATATAAGTACATGAAAGAATTTTTTTTTTTACGTGTATGATTTATAGTAAAACTAAAACGAAACAAATTAAGAACAGTCGAACAAAATTGTTTAAAAAATTGAACAGTTGTGATCGAAATCATTGAAGAGACAAATGCCTCTTTAGTTGAAAGAGATAATCGTCATATTTAGTCACAATATTTCTCACACTTAAAAAAAAACATTTAAAATTTTTTTTTTAAAGTTTTACAGTTTTATAATACAGTTGATATGCAGCATTATATAAGTATTAGCAATATGTTTTGTTTATAATTAATAAAATTTACTAAATTCAATCATAAAATTAATTATAAAATAATACTTTCTTATTCAGGTATTTGTCTGTTTTTAAACAGCTTGAACTCTACAGCTTTGTCTGTTTTTAAACAGCTTGTGCACGCACGCACGCACGCACACGCACGCACGCATATATATATATATATATGTATGAACTTTTATATATATTTTATATATATGTTCAAAATGAAGAATAAAACAAAGAAAAATTATAGATATATGAAAAAAAAGGGGGGGGAAATAATAAGTAAAAAAA